AATCGCTAGCTATGTGCTAATCGCTAGCTATGCGCTAATCGCTAGCGAAGCGCTAATCGCTAGCTAAGTGCTAGCTTTGGTTAATTTGTTTAATTGTATTATGCTCCTGAAGGAAAGCTAATGTAAATTAAGGAACAGCTCATAGTAGGGTAAAATATTTAAGGTGTATTGAACTTATTTTGTGTTAATATTAAAATCATTCAGCTTTAAATTGTTTGCTTGTTAGCCACCTGCTAATTATCTTTAGCTAGACAGCTAGCGCTAGATTATTAATGCCATTAATCCTCCCTATAGCATATTAATATCATGTCATTCTCTTTAGCTAGCTAGCTAGAGCTAGCACACATAAACACATAAACCAAAGCTAGCGCTTAGCTACGTGCTAATCGCTAGCTACGTGCTAATTGCTAGCTAACCGCTAATCGCTAGCTTCATGCTAATCGCTAGCTAAGCGCTAATCGCTAGCTAACTGCTAAGTGCTAATCGCTAATCAATAGCTAAGTGCTAGCTTTGGTTAATGTGTTTAATTGTATTATGCTCCTGAAGGAGTGCTAATGTAAATTAAGGAACAGCTCATAGTAGGGTAAAATATTTAAGGTGTATTGAACTTATTTTGTGTTAATATTAAAATCATTCAGCTTTAAATTGTTTGTTTGTTAGCCACCTTCTAATTATCTTTAGCTAGCCAGCTAGCTAGCGCTAGCTTATTAATGCCTTGTCATTCTCTGTAGCTAGCTGTGTGTGTGTGTGTGTGTGAGCAGGCTTTGGTTGTCATGGCAATCAGGGGAGCCCACAGCAGCTGCGCACACTCTCTCTGTCTCTAACTCCTCAGAGAGACAGAAACATTTAAAATGAATCCCCTCAAAAGCATGTCCAGGAACGACCGAAATGAAAACCGAAAAGACCGTGGGCGTTGTCATCTTGTTGACTATAGCACTGCCAAGTTTCAGTGGTTAAAGTTAAAAAATGTGACCTGGGGAGATTGAGAGAGAAGAGGTTCAACGAGCGTGTTTCATGATTGCTCCTCTAAAATTAACATGGGAGTAGATGGGGCCGTGAGAGGGAGTTGCTGGCGCATCAGTGCGTCTACCGCCAAAACTATTTGTCTGACAGCTTCAGCAGTAGTATCACTGCGACCCCAACGGATTTACCTACATTTCTATCTATAAATTATTTCTGTAGAGTGAAATTTGTGGCCATGACAGCAGTTTACAAATTTATTTTTCAACAAATTTTTCCCTTCTCCCCACACTCTAGCGATGATGTCACGCACTCTGGCAGTTTTTTTCAGTTGGAGGTTCTCGCAATACACACCCATTCATTTTTTTGACCGGTTTTTGGCGATTTATCGGCAAACCGTTTGGCGAAATTCTTAGAAAAGTCATAGCACTCGATTCCCGGCCGAGCCGCACGTTTTGATACCTTTTTTGTGTATGTGCGACAAAAGCTGCGGGAGAAGAAGCGCGCCGAAAAACGTACGGAAGAAGAATAATAATAAGCCCGAGGAAGAGTAGTATTGTGCTTGCTTTGCAAGGCACAATAATAAGCACGAGGGATAGTAGTATTGTGCTTGCTTATGCAAGGCACAATAATTAAAGTAAAATAACATGACAATGCTCCCGTCGTGTGCACAAAACCAGCTCCAGAATTTAACAGTTTGAAGTGGAAGAACTCGTCTGCATGGAGTGCTGACCTGAAGCGGAGCACCAACAGTAAGCCAGACCTGATCACCAACATCAGTGCATCACTGATGCTCTGGTGTCTGAATGGGATCTGATCCCTGCAGCAGGTTCAACATCTGCTGGAAAGACTGAAACCAGAAGGGTGGACTGTTGTGCAACACTTTAATGAACGCGGTTTTGATGTTCATGTGCCACATACTGTCGGCTGTTTTTCATCAGTCCTGTGTTAGGGTGGAGGATTCCTGGATTAAACAGGGTTAGTTTTTGCTTCCCTGGGTGCCAGATGGATCAAGTTTGGTTCAGATGAAAAGCAGGACGTTTTGTAAAATTACAGGAAAGCCTCCCACAAAGATCTGGGGTATTTCTTTCTCTCATTTTTGGTGGTACTAATTGTGCCGATACAGTGAACCCCATCTGTTTGTAGCTTAAAGCTACCACCAAAAACACATTTTCAGCTTGTGTGCCATTTACCACCATCAGTGCCTTTACATGCACACTTAAGTAATCAAGTTAGTTGTGGCCTTCTGTAGTAATCCAGCACTGTTAAGAGGCTACATGGACATTCAGAATAATGCTTCATGTGGAGATGAGATGAATCCAGGTTCACCAGAGACGGAAAGAGTTTCATAATACAGAGCAAGGCTCTTAACTAACTAAAAGTTATCATAACAGAAACTATTTTATCTTTCATAGTAATGATGTCGATTGTGAACAGTAGAAATTCAAGCAGGAAAGTTGGAAATTGGGTTTCCTATTACGCAGTCAGGTGCCAGGAATGTTAACATTTGATTGGCCGACACAGCACCTTGCTGGATAATGTTGTGTTGTGGCAAAAGTTGAGGTGTGTTCAAATCAAGTGTAAACCACTGACGGTATATGAATATTGGACAGAGCAACATTAGAAAGAACATACCCTCACTTTTCAGAACCAGAAGCTTTGACCACTACGGTTGAGTTGTTCAGTCATTATCAATCATTACCCAATGAAGGTGTCAGAGACAAGCATTAAGGTTTACGATAGGAGAGAAATCTGACTACTGACCAGCTGGATATATAACAAGGTTACTACAGTGGACGTAAATACATTTAGATCACTTATCTGATTTCTTCTGCAAACATACTTTTTTTTTGCTTTGGCTTAATTTCAGAGTCACTGGTTTGTCTTCGACCAGACTCCTCTGTTGTGTCTGTCAGAAAGATATAACCTCTCATCTCTCATATTCAGTTCATGTCTGCAGTGAAAACACAGGAGAGATCTGTAAGCTGAAGCTTCAAAGCTGATGTTTTCTGTGAATGAAAGTTTCAGTGATCTTTGAAATGTTTGAACCTGAGGCCTCAGAGTGAAATTAAACTAATCCTTATTTCACTGTTGTCCCCCAACCTCTGTTGGACCCCTGGAAGGTCCCCGGACTTCGGTTTGGGAACCACTCTGCTTTGGGAGGATTTTAACGGCTCTAATCAACGGCTCCTAATTAAAATTGATTTGCGGTTGATTAAACAGGTCGTTCTCTGAAATCAATCTGACTGATGACGTTCTCCAGAGTTCAGAGGAAAAATCGAGGACGAGTGCTCAGCGCTTGGTGTTCAGTCAATTAAAAACATAACGACAGGGAACTTAAAGCGCTGCAGCATGGCCGAGAGCATAATTAAAAATATTAGCGAGGCACTTACAGTCCCATTATAGAGCTGATCAGCTGATCTTATCGTGAGTGAGCCGCAATGAAGCAGCAGTTTAAATTTTTACCATCAGTCTGTCTGTTCAGTTCAACATCTCAAAAGGATTTTCATTATATTTATTTTGAGAAACTTTTCTGTAATGCTAACCGGGTTTTCACTCTATTTCAGTGCATGCCAAATATTGTTATTTTAAGGACAAACTGAAGCAACATTATGGAACTTTTCTACCTTAAAGTAATTAATTAATAATCATTTTGATGATACACTGAGTTGTTACAAGGTGAATAGTTCCTCTGCATTCTTGTTCTTGCACTATGTGACTTTTAGCTTCGGGCCTGGACAGGGGTTAGGGTTAGGGTTAGGGTTAGGTAATGTAATGGTTTACGTCAAACACCACCAACTAAATCAATGATTTTGGTGAAACTGTATCATATTTTATGAAGAAAATGTTTCTGGTTTTCCCTCTGATGTCCTCCAGCTGCTACGTTACAACTTAATTTTGTGTTTCACAGTTCAAGTTAAAGGACAGAGCAGCTTTAGTTGGCCAATCAGAGGAAACGGGGCTTTCAGGGAGGGGTCTTAAAGAGACGGCTTATTTCAGACAGAGGATGAACTGAGGGGCTGCATTTAGGGCCAATATCAGATAAATAAGGATGTTTTTGAAGAGTGAATTATGCAAAGCTAGTCTAGTAGAGTCTCAAGGCTAAAACACCACTGCAGCGCCATGTGATGTGATGTGCATGAAGCCCCGCCCCCAGCACAGTTAGGAAGTGTCGCACTGCAGTGCGTCTCCCAGAGCTGCTCAGGCTTGTGGTAACAACAGATCTGCATTTATGGTTAAATGATCCTTTGTAATAATTATCCAACATATACAGGTAGCAGTAGTGTTCCATTTAGCAGGATGCAACCACTGCCAAACTAAATATATTCCATTCACCTCTGTTGTATTTTGGTGAAAGCAGATCTACAAGCTGTTTGAATTGAGCTGGCATGCACCTGTAGCAATAATATTTATTATAGTCCATGTGAGTACCTGTACTTCTTTGGGTGTATTCACACATACCTCATTTGGAGCAGTTGGTGCGGTCTGTTTGGCAATAAGTGAACAGCATATCACTATAATCACAGTCAGATTTGTGAAAAAACAAGCTTCCCAGAGGACTTTGGTGCGGATCATTTGAGATGTGAAAGCAAACAAACCAACAGAAAACTTACAAATACTGCTGGCACCTTTTTTTCCTCCAATTCAATATTTGGTCATTTCGGTGAGCTGACCCTTCAATGAAGTGTGCATTCATCTGATTAGTGCCCGATCAGAGGTGAAGTGAGTTTCACTTCATAATTACCTCTCTTATCATTTGATAAAAGAGAATCCTGCCCTTCGGAACAAATGAAGACAAGTTACGTCTCTTTTTATGAGGCAGCAGGTGAATTATGTCCTCAGACGACACTTTAAGAACATTTTAAATGACTGAATCCTTTACAGACACTGACTAATGTCCTCACACACTCTTCCACTGGTCGATTTCAATAAATGAAGAGCTGTAATTCACTTTGTGATGACCCCCTCCTCCCACCAATCAATCAGTGTTATTTCAGGTTTCCATTGCGTTGATGCTGTGTATTTCCTGGCAGACTCACCGGCGGAGCAGGGCCCGTCGGACACCCGGGAGATGAGCCTCTGCTGTTTGCAGGACGCCTGTCGCCTGTAGCACTCGTTCTGGTAGGTGTCTCCGTTTGAGCCGCACACAGGGACGTAGTGTTTGTGGCACTGGAAATCAAACACAATCAAAAGTTAATTAAGGCTCAATGTGACCGCTACTTCCAGGACAAACTGCAGACCTGATGCTGAGGATTCAGAAGCAGCAGAGAGGAGCTGTGAACTGTTTTTATTAAAGAAAGTCAGGATTCACTCGAGGATGTTGTTGTCTCTAATGATGGAAGGAAGTTTCTGAGCAGAGACAGCCCTCAGTGTCTCCCCCACCTCCTGGAAAACCTGGACATTTAGAGACTAGTTTTCCAGTCATGGATGATCCTGGAAATAATCTATATTGTGCTGGAAAATTTTAAATGTATTTTAGCCCTTCACTCAGATCAGATCACCTACCTATTTTGTTTGAAACTCGACTGTTGGAAGGAGCTGCGTGGAATGAAAGCCGGTTTACCAGATGTGGAACAAACTTGCAGCAATGTTTTTGCCATTTGTCCCAAAGCTGCGAGCAGAGTTCTCATGAAAGCCCAGTGGAAACATTTCTTGTTGTGGTTAATAAATACATAGACAGAGATGTTCATTTCATCTCAACAAACACTTTCTACTTCTTCTTTTAATAAACTAAATACGAAAACAATAGGTGAGAAGATTAATTTTATGTTAAATGAAATAAATTCCACTTAATTTGAAGTGTTACTTATCGGCTATGGCAAACGTCATGAATGTAATCACTCAAACTAAAGGTATCAATACGAGGTTTACCAGTAAATTATATGACCGTCTGTTAGCAAATCCTGTCCTGTATTGTCAAGACATTTCCTGTGTCTGTAGGAATTCCTTACAGGCTGCATACATTACCTACAAACTTCACCAATACAGCAGGACAGCCACTCACAGAGACACCAACAGACCAAATAACTTGAAGGATCAAAGACTGAGGGGTCAGAGGTCAAGGACACATCAACGGGACAGAGGATTCAGATGTTATTTTGCAAGTCTAGTTCTGTTTACTAAGAAAGTGTTATGAAGTGAAATGAAAAGGAGCAGTCAGTTATGTAACATCGTGTGTGACGAGAGTTGAAACTGATGTGAATTGTGAGTCGAAGTTCGAGGAGGATGATGAAGGTTTAGCTGACGATAACTTGACTCTGCTGTCAGACACAAACTGCAGCTGGCGAGGACACATATCAGCGTTCAGCGATCCATATTCTATTAACTCACAGCCATCAATCATTTACCAGGAATCCCCTGCAGGGCTGAACTCTGTGACCTCTGCACACACTGCACCAACACAAGCAGAGGTGGAACGTAACTAAACACATTTACTCAAGTTTTGTAGTACAAAATGTAGGAACTTGTACTAATGTTTTCACTTCCTACTTCTACTCCAGTCTGACAGATTTAGTTACTTTTAAAAAATAATATTTTTGGACACAAAACATATGAAGAGAGTATAAAATATGGTTTTATATTTACAGTTTAAACCATTGTTTGAATAATTAGAACTTTTTTGACAATTATTAAATTTCATTTCAGCTCCACAAATGTAAAGATTTGCTACTTTTCCTTTGAAATTAGTAACAATATTGAGCTTTAGACTGTTGTCAGATTAAACATGCATTTTGAAGGTGTCCCTTTGGACTCTGGGTAATTGTGATTTGCTTTTAGACATTTTACAAAGCAATCAATCAATGGATTAATGAAGAAAATAATCATTAGTTGTGATACAAAATAGTTCAAACTGAGCTTCACCTCAACCAACAACAACAGTAAAATCCTGCTTTTGCATTAAGTTAAGAGTCAAAGTTTAATACTTTAACTACAGGTTGCAGGAGTATTACTTACTTGTCTTAACAGTGTGGTATTAATACTTTTACTGAAGTAAAGAATCTGAATACTGCACTGCTCAGTTATACATTTGACAAAAACAGCTCCAGTGACTTCATGGAAATTCATTAATGACAAAACTATTGAGCAGTGATTAATCAGTAAATCCAGATCAGAGAGCAAACAGGGACAGATTCATGAACTCAGAGCAACCAGAGACTGAACCTGACTGTAATTGTGCAGCGGGGTGCCCTTTCGCCTCTTATCTTCAAAGCTACTGGAGCTCAGTTTTGACAGTTTTTCCCCAAACTCCAGCTGAGAGAAGGTTTTTTTTTTTAAGATATGAAGAAGTAAAGCATCCATCCTGTCAGGCTGCTTTTTAATTTTAGCTTCGTCAGGGCTTTGCTGAAAAATAGATCAGTCGGTCTAGCAGAGAGATGAGGTTGCTTACTGTTGAAGCAGGAAACTGTTGGTAGTAACATGGTTGTGGTTCTCCTGACAACCCATGGTGTTGTGCTATAATGTCACTGAACTATCCAGGAGTCTCCTGTGTGTCTGTGTTGAGGAACATTCTTAATAAAAATGAACAGAAATGTGTTCTTTCACTGGGAGTCTGACACTTAACCCGACTCTTTGGGAGTGAGGTGTATTTAGTCTGTTGTAATGCTGCTAGGCTAGCAGTCTCCGGCTGATTCCAGTCTCTGTGCTAAGTAGGGCTCTGCATTACAAGCAAAAATACTACTTGATATTCACTGGGACAATGACTATTCGAAAATCATGACCCATTCAACAAACAAAAATACGTTTTAAGACTATTAATGCTGTTTACACCAAATTCCACCTTACCTATGTTATGTGACTTACAAATAGTAACATCAGGGGCGCCCTGATAGCTCACCTGGTAGAGATGGCGACCCATGTACCAAGGCTGAGTCCTTGCTGCAGTGGTCAAGTGTTTAAATCCGACCTGTGGCCCTTCGCTGCGTCTCATCCCCTCTCTCTCCCCCCTTTCCTGTCACTCTTCAGCTGTCACTATCGATTAAAGGTAATAAAAGCCCCCCAAAATATTCCAGGGATGATGAAGACAGTTGGAGAACAATTGGATGAAGGCTCTACCGGATGACCCTTTTCTAGGCAACTCTAATGTTTTTAACTTTATTTTCTAAGGTAAGGAAAACAACACACAATTCTTATATCCAGGTGATTATACACTAATGAAAACATACCTATGACTATTCTATTAAATTTCTGTCCTCCTAAATGTTAAACACTGGACCTTTAATTGTTTATTTGATTATTCATTTATCATTTAATAAAATGTCCTGATGTGATTCATTGCAAAAGCTTCACAGAGAGCATTACCTGGAAGCAGATCTGAGGACAAAATCCTAAGATGTGAATGATACTGGACCCACATACACACACACACCTGCTAGCCCTCTGTTGTAATTACAGTCACATTAGAAAGAAATATGGCATCTTTCTGAAGTCTGAGAGAACAACAAACAGTCTCATCAGATGCTGCAGAGCGTGCAGTTAATGAGGTTCTCAGTGAGTCGGACTCTCTTGGACTGAAACCAGAATCTGAGGAATCAGGATCAGGTGTTGTTTGTGTTGGCAAAGTCTGAAGTGACTGATAGTTAGTTTCAATCTAGCTTTGAGGAACATCAGTTAACTTTGATGAGACATTGCAACACACACACACACACACACACACACACACACACACACACACCCTGCAGAGTATATTTGAATATGTTTCAAGCTATTTTTAGCACTATGGAAGTTAAATCTGGTGAAAACGGCTGACTCGGGGTCAGATTTAGACATCTGCATTAAGGGGCTATTTCAGCTCTGAGCTAGCTTTTAATTTCATGAAGCTGAAAATGCTCACTGCCATTATTATCAAGTGTTTTCTAATGGGAAAATATCACAGAGTGCTTCAATTACTGGCCTTCAAATTCAGCCTAAAAATAAAAGTCCTTATCTGAAGTGGGGCCTTGATTTGAGGTTTACAGTCCTCGTGTTCAACAAAAGTTGTTTTAGCCAATCAGCTTGTCAAAGACTGCGGTACTAAAAATGAAATAAAATATCTGATTACTGGACCAATAGTGCTTTTATGTGACTGTTTTATGGCCTATTTTCTGTCCCAAATACAGGTGAAAACTAGTCTTACAATACCAGACAATCAGAGACCTCTGTGTCTACCGATTGCCTGAGGATTTCTCGACGCTACTGCCGCTAACAAACACTTCAAGGACACGCCTTCCCCGAAACAATGACTACCATGACTACTATATATCATCTCTCTTAAGACTTTGGATTGGTTCTGACATGATGTATTTTTTTAAACTCTCTGTTTCTACCCAGTTTTACCAACAAAAGCTGACTGGAGGGGATCTTTAAACAGTCAGACAAGTTTCATTTTGTTCTGTCGTCAAGAACTTTCCCCAGGGACCAGGAACCTTTCGAGGAACTCTATTCTATGTTTTGTCCTCATTGGTCGATTACTGTTTTTAAAAATCTGCACCCAAACCCCAGTTAGTGTTTTGTTCATGGCTGTATAGGTCATAAAGTCCACTGCATCCATGTTAGCAGATGGGACAAACTAAAATGTAAACACTTGAAATACATTTATCCCAAAGATGGTTTCTGTCATTTTAGTTCTTATCACTCTGATGTTTGTTCATGTATTCTTTTTTCTGATCAGTTTGGTTTTAATTAGTCATTTGAAGCTATAAAAAGGGGGATTCACATCATTATTGACAGCTGAGTCAGCCAGGTGTATGGGCGGGATCTCGATACCATGGTGCCAACGCTGATGACAACTGCGCAATCTCTGAATGGCGACGTACATCTTTTATATGTTGATGGCTTTGGCACATCAGATTTTTCTATGTCAGCCGACTACTTTGCCTATTCTTGTCAAAACTCACACAACAAACACACACGCAAAATCCTTCCGGCAACTAAAAGTTTCCGGTACTGTGGATGGAAACGTGGCTAAAGTAGAGTTAATTGAAGAAAAGGTTTTGAGAAATTACTGATTTGCTAAAGTATTCCTGGATCGCCACTGATACAACGTTTATGATCGGCTCTCGACATCTTTCCAAAATATATATATTAACCTGAAAAACATAAAACAATGCAACTGTTGAGCTGCTTCTTCAATCTCGAGACGTACTGTATGTGTCAATGCATTCGTCTCCAACAATCAAACCCACAAAGGAGCCTCATAAATCTTAATTGCTGCCAGCTCACAGTCATAATTATAGGAGAGGCAAGGGGGTCATTTCAACATTTTGATCAACTCAGAGCTTAATGATGAATGCAATAAATGAAGCTAAGCTAAAGAAAGTATTACTGGTACTTTTGTGATGCAGGGAATCTACTGGGATTTTAAACTGAAAGATGGGAGCTTTAAGGGCAGTTCGTCTGTTTGTCTCCACAAGTTCCTTCATCGTCCCTCCTGTGAAGAGTTACAATAACTGCTAGTTGTTGTTTCTGTATTCAGCTGAAGACTCCTCAGTGGTGCCGTCTGGCTCAGGCAGCTGTGAAACTCTTCTGATCGCACCCCGTTTGTATGGACATGAGTAATAAATGCAGGTTTTGCTTTCAGATCACAGAGCGTGACGGTTAGTTTCAAACAGTGTCTGTGTGTCTTGTTATTGCAGTAAAGCAGACGCTCTGTGGTGAATTCGTCTTCCAGACGATGCCCTTCACGCTGCTGCTGCTATTCTGTCATGTTGTTCGGCCAAATATGCAACAAATTCAACAAGCTGACTGGAGAGTAATCACATTTTGTTTCATATTGGAGGAACAAACTCCAGGATGTTTATGTGATGTGTCTGAAGGGACTTAACACTCTTTTGACTTATTCTAGACCATAAACTCAAGTCTGCAGTTGCATTGCACAGCGGTAAGTGGCGTTGAGTACGTGCCTGAATAAATATCAAACAGTGAATCTTCACCGTTGTCAATTCAGCCGTGACACATGGTACACTACTAAAAGCTTATTAAGGTCTAAGTACACCACTCAATTCTGCCAGTTCCCTCCCTCTCAGCAGTTTCTTTAGTCCTCTATGACAGATATGTCTTTGGGGTTGTGGACAAAACAAAACATTTGGGGACGTCACCTTGGGCGTTAAGAAACACTGATCAGCATACTGACATTTTATGGACCAAAAAACTAATTGATTTAAGGTTCTACATGCAACTTTCAAAAATCATTGTTAATAGTGCCACCAGTGGCGGTTCAGGGAACTGCAGTCAGTGTCCTGTTGCTTGCACTCCGTACACAGTCCGTAGGCACCAGCAAGCAATCATCATTCTGGGTGTCAGCCAACAGGGACAAACACTGAGCGCTGTAACATAACTGACAACCATATTTAGAATAACGTTATTATCTGCAATGTTCCTATATTGTATTTGGACCATTAGCTCCATGCTACTAACTAGCTTGCCGTTTACAAATCACCCATCAGCCAACACCACAAAGCAACCAACGCCAGACCCACACCGCGCAGCCAAGACACAGCCAGACAGACAACCCCAGCTTAGCTTAGCTACAGTTAGCTAGCTGGATGCCCCTGACTCGTATCACTCTTGGCAAGTAGAACGCAACCATTAGCTTTGTACTGCTAAAATCAACACAGTTGATATAATAAAAATAATAATACATAAGTTAATATCATGGAACACGTTGGCTGGGGAAGCAAGCACAATAATACAATATATCCCACTGGCTTTAACAGTAATGGTAATGTTGGACTCTGTGTTGGACTCTGTGTTGTGGACTCTGTGTTGTGGACTCTGTGTTGGACTGGTTGACTCTGTGTTGGACTCTGTGTTGTGGACTCTGTGTTGTGGACTCTGTGTTGGACTCTGTGTTGTGGACTCTGTGTTGGACTCTGTGTTGGACTCTGTGTTGTGGACTCTGTGTTGGACTCTGTGTTGGACTCTGTGTTGTGGACTCTGTGTTGTGGACTCTGTGTTGGACTCTGTGTTGTGGACTCTGTGTTGGACTCTGTGTTGTGACTCTGTGTTGTGGACTCTGTGTTGGACTCTGTGTTGGACTCTGTGTTGGACTCTGTGTTGGACTCTGTGTTGTGGACTCTGTGTTGGACTCTGTGTTGGACTCTGTGTTGTGGACTCTGTGTTGGACTCTGTGTTGTGGACTTTGTGTTGGACTCTGTGTTGTGGACTCTGTGTTGGACTCTATGTTGGACTCTGTGTTGTGGACTCTGTGTTGGACTCTGTGTTGTGGACTCTGTGTTGGACTCTGTGTTGTGGACTCTGTGTTGTGGACTCTGAGTTGGACTCTGTGTTGGACTCTGTGTTGTGGACTCTGTGTTGGACTCTGTGTTGGACTCTGTGTTGTGGACTCTGTGTTGGACTCTGTGTTGGACTCTGTGTTGGACTCTGTGTTGTGGACTCTGTGTTGTGGACTCTGTGTTGGACTCTGTGTTAGGACTCTGTGTTGTGGACTCTGTGTTGTCGACTCTGTGTTGGACTCTGTGTTGGACTCTGTGTTGGACTCTGTGTTGTGGACTCTGTGTTGGACTCTGTGTTGGACTCTGTGTTGTGAGACTCTGTGTTGGACTCTGTGTTGTGGACTTTGTGTTGGACTCTGTGTTGTGGACTCTGTGTTGGACTCTATGTTGGACTCTGTGTTGTGGACTCTGTGTTGGACTCTGTGTTGTGGACTCTGTGTTGGACTCTGTGTTGTGGACTCTGTGTTGTGGACTCTGTGTTGGACTCTGTGTTGGACTCTGTGTTGTGGACTCTGTGTTGGACTCTGTGTTGGACTCTGTGTTGTGGACTCTGTGTTGGACTCTGTGTTGGACTCCGTGTTGTGGACTCTGTGTTGTGGACTCTGTGTTGTGGACTCTGTGTTGGACTCTGTGTTGTGGACTCTGTGTTGGACTCTGTGTTGGACTCTGTGTTGTGGACTCTGTGTTGTGGACTCTGTGTTGGACTCTGTGTTGTGGACTCTGTGTTGGACTCTGTGTTGTGGACTCTGTGTTGGACTCTGTGTTGGACTCTGTGTTGGACTCCTGTGTTGGACTCTGTGTTGTGGACTCTGTGTTGGACTCTGTGTTGTGGACTCTGTGTTGGACTCTGTGTTGGACTCTGTGTTGTGGACTCTGTGTTGGACTCTGTGTCAGACCTGTGTTGGACTCTGTGTTGTGGACTCTGTGTTGGACTCTGTGTTGGACTCTGTGTTGGACTCTGTTTTGTGGACTCTGTGTTGGACTCTGTGTTGGGGACTCTGTGTTGGACTCTGTGTTGGACTCTGTGTTGGACTCTGTGTTGTGGACTCTGTGTTGGACTCTGTGTTGGACTCTGTGTTGTGGACTCTGTGTTGGACTCTGTGTTGTGGACTCTCTGTTGGACTCTGTGTTGTGGTGGGTGTTGGTCGTTTGTAGCCGTTAGCAGACTCTATTTATAAGCTATCATTAGCTCGTGTTGCCCACTGTTGGCACTGTAGGGAAGCGGAGAGAGAGAAGGCCCTCGGGAGCATACGTTACATCCTCGTTGGAGGAAGGTCTTATTTTTCAGGTTATGTGACAACCTGTTCACTCATTGGCAACAGTGATCAATACATTAATAATGTAAAATGCTTCAGAAACGTACATATTGAACCGTTACATCATTAGCTGCAGCCCTATCTTCAGTCGGAAACAATGTGCTTGGGACTGTGAGTGTTTTCATGGGATTTGTTGTTGATAACACCAGAGAGAAGAAGGCAAACTATCATTTCATCTTTTCCTACCTGGAACTGGCAGACACATTTGAGCTGAGCGCCGTCGTCTCGGCAGACGCCTCCGAATCGACAGGTGGAGTCATCACAAACCCTCAGGTCGCTCTTCTTCTCTGACAGATCTGCAAACAAATAAAGGGAGGGGGTTAAACAAAAAGATGAGACGTGAGCAGGTAGATCAATAAGGTGAATCAGACCCCCACAACCTCCACAAGTATCCACAGTAAATCCTGACAACCCTCCTCTGATCACTCAGAATAAAACCCGGACAGTTTTATGAGTTCCTGAACAATAAAAGCAGACAGAGAGCAGAGCTGCAGGGGAAAATATGGACACATTTCCCAGCAAAGCACAACAGAGGAGATGATTGTTTATCAGACGGAGCAATAAGGTTTCATGTCGCAGCAGCACCTGAACTACAGGTGAGAGTGTGTTTACACCAGGGAAATAACAGGTAGACACAAATCTGTAATGTGCCAGTCCTCATAGGGAGGATGGGTCGGTAATGAGCAAGGCAGTTTTCATCTTAAACAACAGATCCACTTTATCACAACCTTGGCCTTATTTCTGTAGCTTTGGATTACACACGGCTCAAAGTTATATAGAACAGAATAAAATATATTGTAACAGAAATTTTACTGCTAAAAACAATAGTTCCATCTTTAGCTGCTAGCAAGATGGCAAAGTTTCCCAAATGGTATCTTTAATTTCAGCACAGTTGAAACTTGTTGGTTATCTTGTTGCTCTTCACAGTTTGATTACTGATCAGTTCATAAAATGTCATGATGTGGCTTATCGACGCATTAAGAGAGCATTTTCTTATCTGGAAGCAGAAACGAACTGAGGACAAAATCCTGAGATGTGAACGATACTGGACACACACACACACACACACACACACACACACACACACACACACACACTGATCTGGCAGCTTGTAAAGGGAGTCATGTCTTGTCTGATAATAACAGACCTCTGCGACTCAGAAATGTGCAGCCGACTTAAATTATCCACATTTTCTTTGAGATAAAAGCCGCAGATTCCTGCCTGTGTTTGTGTGTTGGTGTAAGTTTCACACACCACAGCTGAGTGTGCTTTGAAGAGCCGCGTAATGGCCTGTAATTACTGTTTTGTGGACCTCCCCTACTCCTAAAAATGGCCGTCACTGGCCGCAGTAACAGCCAGCCGCAAAGCCCCTGAAGCTCAGCAGCTGACGGGGAGATGAGAAGCTCCAGCTCACAGACACAACTAACCTTCACATTCAAGGAACAAGAAAATGAAATGCTATGAAGGTGGAAGAAGTCCTTTATTTCATAACCATAGATGGAAAACACTCCAAGACTTGCATTGAAAATGTCACTTTCCTATCAGTGTTTTAAATTATTGATGCATTAAAAGGTTTGAAATGTAAATCCCTAAAATTGGAGGTTATTCCAATTTGGGAGAAAAAACAAATTGGGTTTTTCATAGTCGGCTGAGTTTCCCTCTCTGTTCTGTTCTGTTAAAAATGTGGATTTTATTCACAAACAGTGTTTGAACCCTCGTACCAATTTCAATCTCTACCAGACGTGAGCTGTATATCCTGTAACTGAAGATTGTTGGAAACATTTGGGATAATGTAAGTACACAGCTCAGCTACATACAGAACATAACTCTAGAGCTTATACACTGTTTAATGAGGAAATGTTACAGATACGAGCTTTAAAGAAACCTCCTCAGCAGATGAGGGGAGGTCTAGAGGCCGAGGCGTCCGGCTGCAGCGGGCCGTTCATGGCTAATTAAGTCCAACCGGCAGCCACATCCATCAGCAGCTCGCAGCCTGGAGGCCGAACGCTGCTGATCACTTCTGAGTGTGTGACAGAGAGTGTGTCCTGTTTCTCGTTTGCAGCCAACTTATAATACGCAGACAGACAATTTGGGATTATGCTGAACGACGTCTTTAAACCTCCGCCCGACAACAAACACAAATGTAAATGAAAGTGTTTGACTAGAGTGTGTTTTCAGTCTGAAGTGTGTGTGTCCTTGCTCTGCTGATATAATTTGGTGTGTGTTTGTTGTCGACCCCGTGTTGCGTTAAGGTTCCTCGCCCTCATACATTTTACAACAGAAACAGGGATCTGAAATGCACATAATTCCCTCTTTTGGATTGGAGCAGAACTAAAGAAGCTGACGGAGCGTGGCAGCAGCCTCCGCCCGGAGCCACATCCACCTCCCAAATCCCCAGAGCTCGGCCCGATCGTCATGGCCACCCAGCCGCCACCTCCCCCCCAGCTCGTTATCTAACCCCCTTCCTCCACTTCAGCCCTGGCTCCAGGAGAGACGGACGTCAATACCTCATCTTCTGTCTGCTGCTCCGAGGCCTTCAGCTCTCTCCACATCCTTTAACCCTTCCACTGCCGCAGCATCACACACACACAATGTTCATGTGCTGCTTTTATTCAGCGCAGCGTTACACAGGATCAGTACATGAACAGAACAGTGTTAGGGGCTCACAGTGTCTCTGATTAACAGTAACAGCACAGACTCTGCTGCTGATGTTGATCACATGTCAAATATAACATAAGATACACAGTGAGACATCCAGCGGTGGAGGAAATACTCTTTAAAGAGTCTGAGTACTACAAGGAGTTTTTAAATGGTTATGAAACAGTCTCAATTTAATACCAATGCCTCTATATGACCTATGTATCAGGGGTCTCAAACTCAAATTGTCTTGGGGCCACTGCTGGTATTTTCATATCACAGGAGGGCCACTTCAACGTGCAGTACTACAAGAAAGCAACATGTTATTTTAAACGAGCAGAACGAGATTTGTATACCAGGGCATCCCTGCAGAACTACAGTACTTCATTACTTGATTATTTGACCTCCTGGGAATGAGAACAGGCTGTGAAGTGTGTAGGAGAAACTCGAGAAAACACATGGAAGGCAGTATTAAGATAAGAGATTTCAAACGTATATTCCATTTCTGCTGATGGGTCCTACAAATTGTGACACACTGGACCTCTAATGCCACTCACTGGGTTGGATTCCCCTTGAATTCAATGAAACCAGGTGGTAGGAACACCACTGCCTTTGTTCACATAGTGAACACAAAATGACTTTAAATAGAGTTAAATAAACTAGTACTAATGTAAAGTCCAGTGTTGGAAGAAGTACTCTACTAATTTACTTTAAACAGCAAAGCCACAATGTAAAAATACTAGTAAATAAAAATTAATTCAAAACCTGCATTAAAAAAAGCTGTCAGATAAATGTAGTGAAAGTACTGTAGATGTAGAGAAGTTGTTAACAGTACTTAAGTAAGTGTACTTAGTTACATTCAACCACACACACACACACACACACACACACACACACACACACACACACACACACAGTCTCCAGAGTGAGGTTTTCATTTCATAGAGAAGTGAAACCTTCTCAAGGACTGCTGTGGCGTATTGATTCGGTTTTCTAAAAGCGGACAATTTATCCTCAGCAGAGACGTGAAACAGGAGAGGGAGGAGGCGTGACATTCATGTAAAAGGCCGCCATCAGTGATGCATGATGGGACTTCAAATCCCCATCATGCTCAAAGACACATATGTTCCAGTTTTCAGAGCATTTAGGAAACATTTTCAGCCAAACGAATAACAAAAATATGAGTTTGTGATTCTTTGTGCTTTTAAGATTCAAAGCTGCACGTATATTCAGTATCTCCTGTTCCAGCTCCTCACTGAAGTTGTGAGGAATACTTTTTGTTCAAAGGCGCCATGTTGGACCGCTTCTTTAAAATACTGATTTTAAGGGGCAAGATGGAGGAACAGAAGCTTGTCACAGCTGCTGCTTAAACTTAATAAAAACCTCAGTGGCAACACTTTCCTTTCATCCTGATGTTACTGCTGTTCCTCCACTGCGCTGCCTAATTACTTCATCTTCAGTCTGACTCCACCTGCCAGCACACAGCACCGTTCACACCTGCTGAACATTCAGACTGCAGGCGGAGAAATGAAACACACCCCGACACACACAGCACTATTTCATTGCTGTGTTTACCAGCTTGTAATCTTTGCCCATAAATAGTATAGAGGCTGATTCACACTGTTGGTTTCCTACTAAGGTTTTTTGGGATAAAATGTGAAAACTTACATACATACTAATAAAAGTCAGTAATACGAATCAGTTTGATTGATCAACACACTCTCCAACCTCCGGACGTCATAGACTAAATCCGGAGACAGAACCTGACCAGGGACCTAACAATAACCTGTTATTGTAAATGAGAAAGTTTCAGAGCGACAGACACACAGAACGTCCCGGTAACCATAGTAAGAAACAAATGTATAGTGATTACAGTGAGAGTCAGTGTCTGTCCGTCTCCTCTCACAACAAGCCTCTATGTTGTGAGAGCTCTCTCTCTTCCTCTCTATATTCTGACTTACTCTCTCATCCATCTGCGCTGCCAGGTACCAAAATCTGAGAAAACAGACTGTTTTTCTGAGCTTTTCAGCTTTCTAAGAGGACTAAGTGTTTGTGCTGAGAGAAAATTTCCGACATAGTCAACTTGTTTTTAGAACATGCAGACAGAAAATCTCTGCAAAGGGGGCGCCACTTTGAATTGGATGAGTCATTGCTGCATGGTGTGGGGACTTCAGAATGGGGGAAAAATGTAATGTCACTAAAGTAAACTGAAGCTTTTAGTCTTATGTACTCTAAAGTTTTATTTGTGGTTTCCAACAGTAGTTTTTGAACATTTTCTGCAGCAATAATGCTGAAAACTGTGATCATTTACTGTCAAGATCAGATTTCTTTGTTTGGCTGTTCACATTGTTTTTTGAATGTGGCTCAGATTTGATTCCAGTGTGAACAGGTCACGTTCCTGAAGTGACACACATGACTACTTTCAAATTAGAGTGACGTAAAAGTCACATGAATTCTGATATTCACACGGAGGTCAGATTGCAAAGAATCTGACCTGAATCTGATTTGGACCACATCTCAGAATTGAAAAGATCAGATTCCTTTTGTTTTTGAGTTCCCCCGTTCACACTGTCTGACCTGCAGTCTAAACGCGGCCTTAGGAAACTCAGGATTGGACCCAAATGCATGACAGCACAGGCTGCAGGACGACTTTGGTGAT